GGGCGCGTGCAGGAGGCAGTGGATCGATGTTTCACTCTAGCATCAATGTTTCTCTCTCTCCCAATCCCTTCCTCTCTCCCTAACATCAATAAAAACATATTTTTAAAAAATAAAAAATAAAATAAAAAACTTGTACTAGATTATTAGAACTCCAGCAATAAGGAACATGTCTGGCAAACACAGATTCAGGCAGTGACTTAAAACGAAGAGGAAAGGATTAACTTTTTAAAGGCAGTTCAGACTCTTAGCTTCACCTTTTAACATGTATCTTTCTAAATTCCAGGGAAGCAGCAACATGCCTCAAGGTAAATCCAATGTCAAGACTCTGGGCCACCATAAAGTGACAGAATTTAGAGTCCTGGAAGCCTGCCTTCCCAATTGTTTGGGTGGTTTTCTGACAGGTGAAGAATTATCAGGCGTATTTCAACTCCGTACCAGGCATGTGCTAGGCACTGCAGTCACAGCGATGAGTGAGACACGGTATGCCCTTTGTCTTTGGAATCCAAACCCAGTTCTGACATTTATTTATGTATTATTTACCTTCTTCTAGAAAGAACCTTTCTAAATCGCAGAATCCTTGTCCAGTAAGTGGAAGTATTTACACCTGCCTCTCAGGCTTGTTACACAGTTACACTTCAGCAAGGGGTGGCAAATTACTAACACTATGAAACTGCCAATATGTGGTGTTTTTTGACCCACGCAGTGGCTCTTTGGGATGGTTCCATTTCTTAGACAAGGCTTGACCCTTCAGATGGGTCTTACAGGATGAGCAGCAGTAGACCAGGGGGAGCAGGAGGCCAGGCCGAGGGAGCAGCACCTGCGCAGACATGAGGGCTTGTCCTGACCCTGAGGACTTCTAAGGAGCTGGTGTGGTTAGAGCATCTCAAGGGTGTGGCAGGCGATGAGACTGGGCACATGAATACTAGACCAGGGGGGTGCTGACCACCATGCAAAAGCTATTAATCTTGACCCAAAAGGCTATAGGGAGTCTTTATATCACTGCTGATTAAGAAACGAGATCTATCTATGAATTAAACTATGAGAAACATTTTAGAATACTTCCCAAGCAATATTCTAACGGTGCACAGTATTTGAAAGTATGTCCTAAACTGGTATTTACAGAGTAGGCCCACAATGAATCAGCTACCATCATTATTAATTTATGTGTACCTATCCAATTCCAAATAAAAATACATGATGCTCCATGAAATACACATGATGAGTAAGAATGGGTTTCCAACTTATTTTGAGATCTTTCAGTTCCTTGACCACCTTAACTGCAATAATGTTTTTTTCCTTTCTTCCACTTTCAGTAACTCAGCACCCACAGAGCTTATGAACACCGCCTTGCAACTTTGCCTCCTAACATCCTAGTCTTGGGCCACGTCATCTGATCCTTCCAGCCCCTTGCTCGACAGTCCTGTTCTCCTATATCTGACTTGCTATTCATTAACCCTGCCAGTGTCTTACTTGCTGTCAAGACCTCTCCTTTCATTTCCACCCCTGTCCAGCTTATTTCCATGATCCAGTATTACACCACTTCCTCACAGACAACCTCAACTCCTCTGTCTCCTTTTCTGTTTTCTTGGCCAAAAAAATAATCGCCTATCCTATCTGTATTTTATCACTGAACTTGATAAAGAAAATCACAAAACTGGATTGCCTACCTTTAGTTTAAATTCAGGAATACAGCACAGGGAATATAGTCAATAATGCTGTAATAACTATGTATGGTGTCAGACGGGTATTAGGCTTATCAGGAAGGTCACTCTGTAAGTTATGTCAATGTCTAACCACTGTGCTGCACACCTGAAACGAATATAATTTTGAACGTCAACTGTAATTTAAAAAATAAAAAAATAATTAATTTGAAAAATAAATCCAAGATTACAAGCTTCAAATGGATAGTCAAAAATGACTTTCTACTTTTAATTCTTGCTGAAAAGGTTCCCCACTGTTTGCAAAGACCTCACTGCAGCCAACTGCTGCGGTTTACCGAGGAAAGGAAACCCACCTGATGAGAACTTCTCTCCTCCTTCCCCCCAATGAAACATGCTTTCTCCCAACAAAGGTTCATCTCCCCATTTCTGCTCCAGATCCAGTCCTGTTTCAGATTCCATCTTCTTTCACCTCCAGAAGAACTTGGGTCCTCTATGGCCATGCAGCACACATCATGCTCTTCTCCCTATTGGATCACTCCTGCCAGCCTGCAAGTATGTCCTCGCGGTTCCCGCCTCACCCTTCCCTCACTACCTCACATCTCCAACCCTGGTGAGGACGGAGTATCTTGAAAAATGCATCTATATTCACTGTTTCCACTGCCTCTCTTCTGGACCATCTCTGACCAATTCCACCTGCCTTCCATTCCCTCTAAAACTTCTCTGGCCAAGTTCACCATGACTTTCATGAAGCCAAATGTCGCGCACACTTTTTATTCTTACCTGATTTGATCTCTAAGTGACTGACTTTCCCTTCCTTCTTGAAATACTCCAATTCTGACATTCTGATTGTGTCCCATTCCTTTAATCTCTTTTCCTTCTATACCCAACTTCTACATGTTCCCTAGGACTCGGCTCTGGGAGTTCTCATTTCTACTGTGCTCCTAGATTTCTTTTAATCCCATGGGATTTGCTGATGACTCCCAAATTTATAATAGCAGCCAAGTCCTCTCCAAGGTCCAAATTCAGATAGCTAACTCTTTACTTGACATTTCTACTCCGATGTCTCAAAACTAGTATGTTCGTAACTGAATTCTTTACTCTTTACTCTCTCTCCAAGCCTCTCTATCTCAAGACTTTCTTAGCTCAATAGATGTCACTAGTATCTACACATTTACTGAAACTGAGTCATCCTTGACTTCCTTCACCCTTCCTGTACACCTCCACTAACAAGTCTACTTCCACAGAATCTTCCATATATACTTTACTGCATCTTCACCACCACTGCCTTGGTGCACACCATCATTCTCTCTCCCGCAGACTCATCTTCCCACTTATACTCTTTATTTCCACAGCAGCCAGGTTGATTCTTTAAACTTTTAGTCAGTTCATTAAAACCATTCAATGAAATCCCATCATATTTAGGATAAAATCCCAACTTCTTGCTATGGCCTCACAAGGTCCTTCATGCTATGGGTCCTAGAGACCTTGTCT